TGGTCAAAGGAGGAGCTAGATAGTAAACGTGAAGGTCTTATAACAATAATGAGAGAGATTATAGCGAGAGCGGATAACGATAGATCACGACTGTTGATAGTCGGTGACTTCAACTTGAAATCCATAGACTGGGAAGCATATGAAGCTAAAACAGAAGATTTTTGGACCTGTAAATTTGTAGACCTCATCCTGGAAACATTCTTGTATCAACATGTTAAACAAGCTACGAGGATGAGGGAAGGGGACGTTCCCTCCATGCTAGATTTGATATTTACCAGGAAGGAGGAAGAGATATTTGACATTCAGTACCTTCCTCCCTTGGGTAAAAGTGACCATGTCTTTTTGGGAATAAAGTATGCAATGCGTTATAAGCTGGAAGAAAATAAGGAGGTTGAAGCAGTTGAAAAACCAGACTTCAGGAGAGGACATTATGGTGACCTTAGAAATTTTTTTAGTGAGTATAATTGGACAGACTTGATGCTAGGCAAGGAAGTGAATGAGATGTATGGCAAGTTTTGTGAAATATATGATAAAGGCACAAAAAAATTTATACCAAAACAGAGATGCAGAACTAGGAAACAGGATTGGTTCAATAGAAATTGCGAGAGGGCTAGAGACCGAAAGACACAAAAATGGAATCAATACAGGAAGAGGCCGAACCCCCAAACATACCAGCGATACAAAGATGCGAGAAACAACTACACGGCAGTGAGGAGAGAGGCAGAAAGAAATTTTGAAAAAGGGATTGCGGACAAATGTAAAACAGAACCAGGTCTATTCTATAAATTCATAAACAACAAATTGCAGGTAAAGGATAATATTCAGAGGTTGAAAATGGGAAATAGATTCACGGAAGATGAAAAGGAAATGTGTGAAACACTAAACGAAAAGTTCCAAAGTGTGTTTGTACAAAATGAAATCTTTAGGGAACCAGATACAATAAGAATTCCAGAGAACAACATAGAACACATAGAGGTGTCTAGAGACGAAGTGGAAAAAATGCTCAAGGAGCTCGGTAAGAACAAAGCAGCTGGCCCAGATGGCGTTTCACCATGGGTTCTGAGAGAATGTGCATCTGAGCTCAGCATTCCACTTCACCTGATCTTTCAGGCATCCCTGTGTACAGGAATCGTAGCAGACGGGTGGAAACAGGCTAACATAGTTCCAATCTACAAAAGTGGCAGCAGGGAAGACCCCCTCAATTATAGACCTGTATCATTGACAAGTGTAATAGTGAAAGTATTGGAAAAACTAATCAAAACTAAATGGGTAGAACACCTAGAGAGAAATGATATAATATCAGACAGACAGTATGGTTTTCGATCTGGAAGATCCTGTGTATCGAATTTACTCAGTTTCTATGATCGAGCCACAGAGATATTACAGGAAAGAGATGGTTGGGTTGACTGCATCTATCTGGACCTAAAAAAGGCTTTCGACAGAGTTCCACATAAGAGGTTGTTCTGGAAACTGGAAAATATTGGAGGGGTGACAGGTAAGCTTCTATCATGGATGAAAAATTTTCTGACTGATAGAAAAATGAGGGCAGTAATCAGAGGCAATGTATCAGAATGGAGAAATGTCACAAGTGGAGTACCACAGGGTTCAGTTCTTGCACCAGTGATGTTTATTGTGTACATAAATGATCTACCAGTTGGTATACAGAATTATATGAACATGTTTGCTGATGATGCTAAGATAATAGGAAGGATAAGAAATTTAGATGACTGTCATGCCCTTCAAGAAGACCTGGACAAAATAAGTATATGGAGCACCACTTGGCAAATGGAATTTAATGTTAATAAATGTCATGTTATGGAATGTGGAATAGGAGAACATAGACCCCACACAACCTATATATTATGTGAGAAATCTTTAAAGAATTCTGATAAAGAAAGAGATCTAGGAGTGGTTCTAGATAGAAAACTATCACCTGAGGACCACATAAAGAATATTGTGCAAGGAGCCTATGCTATGCTTTCTAACTTCAGAATTGCATTTAAATACATGGATGGCGATATACTAAAGAAATTGTTCATGACTTTTGTTAGGCCAAAGCTAGAATATGCAGCTGTTGTGTGGTGCCCATATCTTAAGAAGCACATCAACAAACTGGAAAAGGTGCAAAGACATGCTACTAAGTGGCTCCCAGAACTGAAGGGCAAGAGCTACGAGGAGAGGTTAGAAGCATTAAATATGCCAAAACTAGAAGACAGAAGAAAAAGAGGTGATATGATCACTACATACAAAATAGTAACAGGAATTGACAAAATCGACAGGGAAGACTTCCTGAGACCTGGAACTTCAAGAACAAGAGGTCATAGATTTAAACTAGCTAAACACAGATGCCGAAGAAATATAAGAAAATTCACCTTCGCAAATAGAGTGGTAGACGGTTGGAACAAGTTAAGTGAGAAGGTGGTGGAGGCCAAGACCGTCAGTAGTTTCAAAGCGTTATATGACAAAGAGTGCTGGGAAGACGGGACACCACGAGTGTAGCTCTCATCCTGTAACTACACTTAGGTAATTACACTTAGGTAATTACACACACACACACACACACACACAGAGGCTACCTCAATTCTCGCCCTCCCTCCCTCATCAAAATTCCTCCTTCCACAATACTACGCACAACGCTAATTATAACCACATTCCTGCTATTATCACAATCCTGGTCACTAATTCCTGTAAATGAATAATTGACCACACGTTTATTTTGAAAAGGAACCTAAGAAATCATTTGAAGATTCCTAGATGAACGAAATAATGCTGTGGTGCTGTGGCTAGCGCTGTGAACATCGTGAACAGCATTGAATCACTGATATTTGAACATTGTACCCAGTCATTATTACACTCAGGCTCTAATATAACACTATCATAGCTAAATAATACAAGTTATATATATATTTTGACATTATTAGGCGATGCTGTGGTCACATGCTGAACAGCAGTGCTGTGCGCTCATGCTGCGACCGCCAGCCTTGGTTGCTCACACACTACTGAGGCTCCCACACCCGGGAATGTGGACCACGATTTTTTTTAAAGATGGCGTCTGTTTACAAGAGCCCTGAGGAAGCTGATGTGAACCCCATGTAGCCGCGGGAGTTTTGAATGGAACGTGAATAATACAAATACCCGGAGGCGCGTTGCGCAAACCAGACGTGAGCCTGCAGGCGCGTTGCGCAGTTTAAGGGTTAAATGTAAAGTGATCATAGGCCATCACTTCCTGCACCTCTGTGAGGGGGGACATTTTCTGGCCCATGACTTCCGCTAGGCAAAATTCCAGGGATGAATGTAATGAAACACTATTTTCTGGGTGAGTCCCGGAGGCTCCCCGGAGCTATCCAGGCTGAAATGGATAAGGTTAACTTTGTTAACTCTAGCAACCAGTCAATGTGCATTGAGTTCTTGCCTAACGGGGACCATGAACCAGAACCTGGCCCCCCCTCAGAGAGGCACGAGGAGAAATGGTCTATAGAAACCCCCATGTGGTAATTACCTAAGTGTAATTACCTAAGTGTAGTTACAGGATGAGAGCTACGCTCGTGGTGTCCCGTCTTCCCAGCACTCTTTGTCATATAACAAATGTCATATAACTGGTTGGGAGCATTCTGTGTCTGCCATCAACTGGTTCTGGCACCAAGAAAGGTAGGCGCCCCAAAACAAACCCCCTATTCTGGTGACATAGAATAGGGGTTCTATGTCGATGGGGCTCCCCCAGAAAGGAATCCGTAACTGATGACACTAGTTAGTATGGCACTTAATAAGTGGTGATAGCTTCAGGAAACCTCCAAGGCTCTCCTAGAAACTGGCATTACATTACATTCAGTGCTTTTTTTATGTTTGTGTTGAGGCATAAGAACAACAAAAAATTAGGGAGGGAGGGGGGATATTTCTTTATGCATACAGGGGTCTTGTCATATTAAACCAACTTGCAGTACATACGTTAAAAGTTAAAGAGTTAAAATATCATTTGAACCTAAAGCACTTTTGGCAATTGTTGAGGTGTGAGGTCTCCAGTACATCAGATGTGGCTGATGCCTAGAAAACTGATAGGAGACTGAGATTTTCTGGAGGATACAATTTCATGGAGATAAAGGAGAGAGATAATGGAGATCATGGAGATAATTTCACGGAGATAAAATGCTCCATGCAAAGATACAATTTCTGGATAGAGCCCTTTGTAGTTCCTTGAAGCTATCTTCCTGAGTTTGCTTCATACTAAAAGGTCACATCAGCCATAGCTAGTTTTCTTGGCCTACCAGGAACCTGGCCCCCCTCACAGAGGCACAGAGAGCAGGTGACAATCTGTCACCTCACCAGAGGAAGCCTTCACAAACTCAGCACAACATTACAGACAACTGGAAGGTTCACAAAAACAAAGCCTCACAAAACCGCTAAAGAAGTACTGCAACGAGTCACACGGAACAAGGGTGTCACTCAAATGTTCTCGAAACTTGTTAATAGCAATTACCATTACCAGCCAGCCCAGACCAGAAATGAAACCACAGGCAAATGGCCTCCCTGCAGGACAAAGTCTGAAGGATGGCTGGCACTTAGCTGACAGTGTGACTCACTACACTCTATTGGAATCAAATACATCATCAACAGGACTGACCCTGTAGCTGGCTGGAGGTGGGGGTGGGGGTGGATGCGGCTTCGGAGCACTTCATTTAGGACATCGGAAATAATGGGGTTTGGGCTAGTTTCAAGTGAACCAATTATTTGCAATGAATAGTATGCAGTCATTCGGCCATTTCAATGCTTCGTTTTCTATGAACCCTACAGTTGTCCGTAAAGCTTCGCTGACATTGTGTATGTTTTCCCGATGAGGGTGAAGTTAATAATCCTGTGCTCTCTGTGCATTTTTGAGAGGGGCCAGGTTCTGTCTCTGGTTCCTGGTAGGCCAAACAGGACTGATGTGATCCAGTAGTGTCGAGTCACTATGAGCGAGATAGTTTCAGGGAGCCATAATAGTATCCTCCCAAAAAATTACATACCATTATTGTGGTGCTGCTTTAGCTGAGAGTTGTGGAAGGCTTGTGAAGATCTTCCTCTTCCCAGATCCATGCTCTCTTCACCATTATTTATATTAATATTGCCTTTTTTCTTTGCAACAAATGAGAATTTTGGAGTTGAATTTCCTTGTGCCACTGTTTTCTCCTGCTTCTTGGCTAGATGGCTTGGGGTAAAGGATTCATCAGTGAAGTTGTCTTCACAGGGAAAACTACTTATGGTAGGTTTAGTCTCCATAACACTTCTGTTTACATTCTCTTCACTACAAACATTATTCCTATTAACTTTCTTGGATAATTTGTCGGACAACCTTCGGGAGGAAGTATCCATGCCACATAATTCATTTTTAATTGGATGATTACCGAGACGAGGCATAATTTTCCCAACGAATTCATTTTCCTCGTCAAAGACAGGGCCTTCATTATTTTCACTAAAACGAGCCTTTAGTATATGACCACTCTGCTTGTAATGTTTGTCATTAGGGCTGAGACTCAAAGGGCTAACTTCTAACTGAGCTTTTTCTTCAAATGAGCCATCACCAGTGTTTCCATGATTTTTGTCCCTGAAGTCTTTCTCCTTTTCTAAGAGCTTTGATATTTTGGTATATGCATTAACAATTTTTAGGTGCTTTATATAGTCATAATTAGGCACTTGCTGAAGTAGATCAGCAGGAAGAGTAGTAAACATTTCAGCCATGAGATTAAACACTGAAGACTTTAATGTAGTTAATATGGATAAATCTTCCTTTTCTAGTTCATTAACCTGTAAAAAAAAAAAGTTAACTATGAAGTAGTTATTACACAAAAGTGTTATGCCATGATGGCTACATAGCATTGGGTTAACACTGAAGAAAAAGCATACTAAGCAACCTAAATGACCATCTGCAAACTTTATAATATATACATGAAACTGTAAGCTTAGTATATTTCCTATATTCTTACACTTCACCAATTTTCAATACACACAAAACAATTGATAAGGTATGGAATAAAGATACAAAAATTTTCAGGCAAAGAAATGTTTAGAAGCAAATATCTTGAAATAGTAACTGTAAAGATGTGGAGTGCAAAATAAATAAAGATTGATGAAGAAGATACACAACAGCAGAATGTAAAAAAATGAAGATCAAAAAGGCAATAATTACATAAGTAACATAACTGTTAAGATCTAAGACTAAGATCTAAGTTACATCTAAGATTAAGATGCAACTGCAGAATATACCTACATTGTCATCTATCAGTAGATTCTTACATTTCTAAAATGCATGACAATAAACTCACCCTAAGAACTGGATGTTTTAAAATTTGGTCAACAGAGAAACCATTTGAGGTAGAAAAATTACTGTCAGAGGCTGCAGGAAGCAAATGTCCACTTGTAGATGCTGGAGCAACAGGCTGAAGAGTCCCTGTTGTGGTAAGTGGGACACTTCTAGTTGATCCTATAGCAAAGCCTGGTCTAGTGACTGACACAGTGGTAGATGATGAACTTTGCTCTTCTAAAAGTGAATTAGGTTCATCCCCATCTGATGACACATTAGTAGCTATGTGATTGGTAACTTGTGGCATTACTGACATCTCACTTGTCACAAGTGACATTTGAGGTGACTTATTTTCAATGGGTGTGTATGTAGGAGCTGCATTTGTAACAGATGGGTTAACAACTGACTGGTTTACAACAGTTGGGGTTGTAAGAGATTGATTTGCAATAATTCTGGTTACAGGATCCTGATTTGTTGTGGCTAGAGATGCAGATTTATTTACATTGGCTGAAACTCCAGAAAATACACTTGTACTTGTTGGGGTTGCAGTAGGTTGTCTAACGACTCTAGGCGTGGCAGGAGATTTCATCTCTACCAAAAGTTTTTTAGATAACTTTTGAAATTTGTTTTCATTAATAGTGTCACCTGCAAATCAAAGAAAATAATGAATATTGCATACAGATTAGTTTACAGCAAAACATCATTAATTCTACTCACAAGCTGAACAGCAAATCCATGGTTACCACCTCATGATCTAATTTTTAAAATCAATTACATAAATGCACATTTGGCAGAATTAGAGAAGCATACTAAACAAATCGGGCTTTGAGTGTACTATACATGAAAAGCATTTTTCTGACCAATTCCTTTTTGTTGTCCAACCCCCAACCCATCTTCAGACCAAGTCCATTCCATCCAACAGTTGACCCCAAAGATGCATTCATCAATTTTAGCATGCTGTTCAAAACAGGATTTTTCTCAAACATAAATATAAATTAACATTATTATATATTAGCATATTGAGCATATTTAGGCATTGGTTAGTTTAGGTGTTTAGGTTCTGTTGGCAATCATTTGTATTTGTAGTACTTGGATGAAGCATTTACAGCATTGTGGTTCAAACTAAAGTCAGCTGCGAAGCACTTGTTAGAAAAGTGTTTAAACGTTATCAGTTGCTAGTCATGTGCAAACCGTTTTTCATTCATAAAGAGGGGGTTTGGCAGGTACATGGAATGGACTTTACTATTTGCTTATGAGAATATGAATTACCCACCCCACTAAGGTAATATTTGCTGTATCTATAAACAGCATCATAAACAGTGAGGCAGGATAAACATCTGACACTGGCACCTCAGGGAATATGTAAACTACCCTGCAGGGTTCTATAAGGTGTTACAATAAACATCATGTAGATTACTGTCACAAATGTCCACTAATGGAAGCACAATGTGCACATGAGGGTTCCAAAACCCAGAATTCTCCATATAATTCCAAACCCAACTAAGAAAAACTCAACACTTTCGCACTCCAATGATGCCTATTAGCGGCATCCGTTTTTCTCCTGTGCCGTCTCAGACGACGATTTCCAGAGTCATCCATTAAAATATTTGTTAAAAATATAAATTTTATCTGATCAATCTGCGAGTGGTTTCAAAATGAACGCCTTTAAATTGTGCACAATTTGGTACCAAAATGAAAGACGTAACCTGAAAATTTATGTCAGAACACTGGAAAGATATAAATAATTTTGTGGTGATGAGCTTCAAAAAGTGTCCAAAAGTTAATATACAGTATTTGTTAAAATTCCATTTATTGTTCTATTATTATAGGACTAGTCTTAAAATACGCGCTTTTTATTGCGAACAATTTGATACCAAAATGAAGGACGTGACACGAAAATTGATGTCAGAAAGATAATAAATGTCAGAAAGAAAATAAATACTTTTGTAATCCAAATTTTAAAATATTTGCTAAAATTCCATATATTTTTCTATTACTATGGGACTAATTTTAAAATACACACCTTTATATTGCGAACAATTTGATATCAAAATGAAAGAGAAAACACAAAATTTGGTGTCAGAACACTGAAAATATATAAATTTTTTGGTGATGAGCGTCCAAAATTTAAAATATTTGTTAAAATTCCATTTATTGTTCTATTATTATGGGACTAGTTTTAAAATACGCGCCTTTTTATTGCAAACAATTTGATACCAAAATGAAGGATGTAGCACGAAAATTTATGTTATCAAACTGAACGAGTATATACATTAGTCTGTAGGTGTGCAAATTGGCACTCGTTCACGAGTAACTTGGCCAACTTTAGGCTATGCTGTGGGGAGTCACTCTGGGTTTTAGACCTTATATGCAAATACCCCTATAGAGAATTCTATTGGAACACAATGATACTAAAACAAATGATGTAGCACAAGAAATAAGGTGGGAAAACTGAAACGAGTATATACATTTTACTGATTTTGCGGGCTCACGGGGTAACGGTGTATCACCATAGAATTGGTGATATGTACACCCGCATAAAAAAAAACAGACGCGAAGAGCAGAGGAGAAGGTCGAACCAGCCCCGTACCGGATCGGACCAACCTGCTGAAAGAGGCGGAGCCGCGGGAAACGTCCCAGGTTTGGGCACCGAGCCAACAGCACCGGAAACCAAGGCTGGGCCGGCCACCAAGGGGCCACAAGGACTACTCTCCCTGGGAATGTCTCCAACCAAACCAGAACCCGAAGCAACAGCTGGACTAGGAAAAAGAGGTACAGGTAACCCCACCTTGACCAGTCCTGCCGAAAGACATCCACCGTGAACGCCTCGCAGTCAGGGAAGGGCGTCACATAGATTGGGAGACGCCGAGACCACGCCGACGCGAAGAGGTCCACATCTGGGAGACCGTACATCTGGCAGATCCAACGAAACGAGTCGTCGTCGACCGTCCACTCCCGTGGACAGGAGATGGAAGCGAGACAGACCGTCCGCCAGAACGTTGGACACTCCCCGGACATGAACCGCATGGAGTGCCAAACCCCGAGAATCCAGCAGATGAACCACTCGAAGGGACCAACATCAAAGAGCCAAGGACCGAAGAGAACCCCCGTGGTTCAGGCAACGAACCACTGGAGAACAGTACGAATGGTCGATCCCGAGCGACCCGAATCCTCTGACGCGCGAACCAGACGGCCGCGAACTCCCGAACCGTGCTGTGAGCCCGACGGACCCCACTGTCCCTGGCCTGCCTGGTGAGCACTGGTCACAAAGCCCCAGCCAAGAGATGACATGTCCGTGAACACATCGAGCGAGGGCTCGGGAAGGCGCCAAGGCACCGAACCCCGAAAACCCCAAAGAGGAAGCCGGTGACGCAGCAACCGACACAAGGCCCCCGGAGGACGAACCCAACGATCGCGAGAGAGGCGGAAGGGACGTCCCAGAAGGAACCAAAACAGACGCCGAAGCTAAACCCAACCAGGCGGGTAGACTAGCACAGCGAAGTTCAGACTCCCGCACAACCACTCGAGCAACCTCCGAGTGACCCGGGACCCCCTCAGAAACAGCCGACGGCGGTCCCGCAGCCGCCGCAACGCCTCTGGAGGGAGAGACAAGGAAGCGGTCCGAGAATCCCAAACAAGACCCAGCCAGGTCCGAACCTGGGACGGAACCAGATGGGACTTCCTCCAGTTCACCAGGAACCCGAACCTGGTGAGCTGGGAAAGAACCATATCCCTGGCGAGCAGACAAGCTAACCGACTGGGAGCCCACACCAGCCAGTCGTCGAGGTAGGCCAAAACCCGAATCCCTAGAAGATGCAGATGGGTCACCACAACCCATCCAGGGAGCCGGTCGGCCGAGCGGACAGCACGCTGGACTTGTGATCCTGTGGTCCTGGGTTCGATCCCAGGCACCGGCAAGAAACAATGGGCAGAGTTTCTTTCACCCTATGCCCCTGTTACCTAGCAGTAAAATAGGTACCTGGGTGTTAGTCAGCTGTCACGGGCTGCTTCCTGGGAGTGGAGGCCTGGTCGAGGACCGGGCCGCGGGGACACTAAAAAGCCCCGAAATCATCTCAACATAACCTCAAGAAGATAAACCAGGTCAGACGTGTGAAAATGCGAGGTGCCAGATTCAAGCCAAAAGGTAGGCATCAATAGCGGTAAGCGTGACGCCCTACCACGAAACCTAACCATGTAAACTACAAGGCGCCGTAACCTGATCAGTTACCCGAAACTCTAGAGAGAACTCTAGAATACAGAATCACTGCCACAAACGTATAAGAGAAAGCGAAAGGAAAGAAATGAATAGTGAAGTAATTAGTGAGGGTTTGGGGTGAGAGGGAGAGAGGTGGGAGGAGCGAGGAGGGTCATTAGTTGAAAGTGAGAGTTTAGAGAAGGGTGGAGGGAGAGGAGTAGATAGGTAGAAGGCGAAGAGTAGATAGTAGAAGTAGAAGAGTAGATAGTAGAAGACGAAATGCTGCCACCATCCATTCATGATCATTACATACAAGACAAGGAATGGAACTTGCCTGTATCACAAAATTCTCAAAGGATGTTATCATGAGTTCATTATTAGTATGTTCCCTCTGTACCATGTATCAACTCCAACCATGTACTCATTTATATCATGAACCCAGTAACCACAGAGGCTTTCTCAAATCCTCAACTCAAAGCTCTAGGGAACAAAGTTAAACACAATTAAATAATAAATTTATAATTATATTTCACATGAAGTATCATAATTTAGCAATTCAATTAAAATGTTCCAGTTTAATATGCAAAGTGAGTCATCATCCAAGAATTCGAGAACCCTACAACTTGACTGCCCCTGATCATCACACAACACTTGTAAAACACGACAAGTCACCTTACTGTTCACTCACCGAGGACTGAGTCTAAGTTGAATAGAGAGGGGGGGGGGGGGGTTTGTAGTTGACGGAGACTCCCGCCCTGCCGGCCGACAGCCTCCCGTCTGCTCTGCTCTCCTGACTGCCGTTCTGTCTGTTCTGTCTGCTAATGCTCTATGCTGGATAGCTCTCCGAGTTTATATTGGGGAACCAGTCCCTGAACCCCGGATGAATAGGAACGTGCCAATAACATCCTTGAGGTCCAGGGACACCATCCAGGCATCCGGCTCCAACAGAAGCCAGACCTGAGACAGAGTAGTCATCCGAAAGGAGGGGTAAGGAATCCAGGGGTTCAGACGGGACAAGTCCAGAATGAACCTCAGATCCGCACAGTCCCATTTCGGCACTGGAAACAGACGGGAAACCCACCTGAGGGACGTAGTCGTTTCGACCACGCCCAAGCGCACCCACTCCAAGACGACTTGACGAAGCACAGGAGAAGACACTTGCCCTGTTAGCCCCGAACCCCCCAAAGGAGGACAAGTCGCCCAACGCCACCGCAGGCCGGATGACACGACCAAAAGGCCCACAAATTGTGGGACCAAGCGTGGGCAAACAGAGCGAGCCTCCCCCCCATCGCCCTGTCAACAGGGCAAACCGCGAAAGTGCCGACGTCCCTTACGAGAACCCAAACGTCGAAAAGGGCGATCACTGCGCCGACCAGACGACGCTGGCCCCAAAGGGAACAACGACTCGAAACTGACATCAATGCCCCACCTCGACCAGTGGAACCCGGAACCCTGGCACAACTCCCTCCGAAACTGCCGAGAACGACCACTTCGGAGAATCAACAAGTCCACCATAGAATGAAAACTACACGAAGCCGCATGCAGAAACTGAGAGACCGCAGTCTATGCAAACAGCAACGGACAAAACGGAGACGAAAGCCTAAGAGCCAGGGCCCAAGCGGATTCCAAAGAGAGGGCGATCACCGCCTGACAGCACGCGAGGCGAGAAGCAAAAAACAGACACCGCTTCCTTCAGGATGGGCGCAAAGAGCTGCAAAAGTGCAGCCGACGCTCTAGCTGCCAAAGTCAGCGCCCCAGACGAAGGCCCTTCACTCAACGCTCCTACATCCTCCTCAAGCCAAGCAGAAGACAGTTCGAGAAGGGAAAAGAAACACAAGATCGAAGCCAAATACCCACGGGTGTGCGACTCCACCGTAACCAATGAAGCCGAAAGCTGAGGAACCTGCACATGAAACTGGAAAAGGCCAACATCCCGAGAAAGCACGGGAGCAAACAAGCACGCATTAAGGTGCTCAAACTCGCCCCCCAGGTAAACCTGTATAAAAGTAGAAGTTTCCCGCCAATCAAGCGTGCGGGTCCGACAGAACCCATGCCACGCCCCCCAAGGAAAAGAAAGGGCAGTCTGCCAGCCAGGAAGATTCCAGAACCTCCAAACGCACCCAAAAATCCAAAAATGGAAAGAAGAACTGAACTCAAACGAGGACGGATCCATTGCAGAGGCATAACCCGGATCTCGCAAGAGGTATGCAGCAAGAGCTTCCTGAGCCACCTTCGCAGAGATACGGGAAGTAGAAAACCTCTGGAAAGATGGATCCGAGGTACCCAAAGGCACCCGGAACCGAACCCGGGTAGGAGCCGAACCCAAATCATGCTCATACAGGGAAGGGGGTAAGAAAAACCCTCCCCTTGCAACAATAAGCCCCGCGAGGAAGGCAAAAGCACCCAAGTGGGGTCAAAGGGGGCCTAAGGCCTCCAGGTTGACTCCTCCCCAGCCCCAGGATCCCCCACGTCGGGACCCGGGGCAGAGCCGTCCTCCAAACCATCTACCCCTGAAGAAAAGGCAGAGACCAAGGAAAAGGCAGACATGAAGGGGGTCTGCTGGTGGGACCCAGAAGCCTCGGCAGGAGGAACCGGCTCAAATGCCTCCGTCCCCAACCCAGATGGGGCAGCTCCCGAGGCAGCCCGAGTCTCATTACCAACTAAACCCTGTGCCGAGCCTGAAACCCTCAGATGTTTTGGAGCCGGACACAGGGGAGGAGGTGCAGGAAGAACCACAGGGGAAGGACCAGGGGGCACAGCAGGAGCCAAAGCCATAGCGACTAACACCCCCAGGTCAGGGTCCCTAAAACCAAAATGGAGCAGCCTCGGGGCATCCGGGTGGGAAACCAACCTAGCGCGTTGCAATAACCTAAACCTAACAAGCAACGCTGATGCTGCCTGGAGCCTAACAGGAACATCCTCAGAGTAAAACTGGAGCACAAGCAGAGAACATGACTCGCAAGACTCCGGGTCAAAGGTGTCGTTAACCCAACAGGCAGCATGACGGAGGCAAAACAGGTGACTTGTCACCCTGAGACAATGGCACACTGCAACCTTCAAACCCGCACAAGGCAGGTTGGAACTTGGGAGATGCATCCATGGGTCCCCCGAGCCCTGACAGGGGTTTCCAGGGGCCCGTAGGGTAACAACTAAGGGAAGCCCGGGCAAGGTGTTGCTAACCGGTTATGAAACCCAAACAAAACAAGAGGTAGATTATAATACTGAAAACCTCTGGGACGTGTACATGCACGGGGGCCTAGCAGAGGGCCACCAAAACAATACCAGGGGAACTATAGACCCATGAGGCAGAACCTCCACCAGGCAAACAAAAACAAAACAAAAGAGAAAAACCCCGCAAAAGTACACCGTCCCCAGAGGCAACAGGAACCGGTCGCCGCTTAGGTGGCAGGCTGCACAACACCTTGACGCCCTAACCAGCACAATACCACTCCAACCCAAGGCCAAACAAGGGCTTCAAACCCCAGCTGGCCCCAAGGGCGAGGCAAATGCCGAGCAGCAAGAACCCCTACGGGAGCAGTTCCCGAACGCCCCAGGGAAGATAACCCTGACACGCAGGGGCAGTACTCACAGGGCACCTAGGGAAGGAAGCCCCTAAGCGCATGCAGCCCTGGCACTGATGTAGTACTCCTGGCCACCACACAAAGGCAGCAGAGAACGCCACACGAGGCAAACACCGCCCAGGAATTTGATGCCAGAGAAGCGTCTATCCCGGTTGACATTAGCTTACGAACTGAAGGCAGCAGGCGTGGAGAGGTCCGGGGAGGGGAGGGCTGCGTGGACGACCGGCGCGGCAGTAAAGTGATTGTTTGATTGTTTCCTTGGGATTGTAGGGAGTTTCTACCTCTGTTCGTTTTTTGTTATAGTTTCTTACCATGTGGGGTTTGTTTTGTTACACCTATCTTTCTGGGTGCCTAACCCCGGTCGATGGCAGATAAGGAAAACCCCCAACCATAATGGGGTTTTCCAGGGCCATTGCTCCCTGAAACCTCTCTGAAGGGGCCAGGTTCCGGCACTGGTCCCTGGTAGGTCTGAACTCCATAGCTAATGTTCCGGTCTAACATAACATACATTAGCCCGATAAGCTCCAGGGAGCTGTAGGGGCTTCCCACAAAAAAGAATTGTTTGGGAACACTTTATTTCATGCGCACCGGGGGAATTTCACAATAAACTCGGCGCAGCACGGTGGTTAAGCATATCCGTTATTTTTTTCCTTCTCCTGTACAGTCGCCTGCGTTCTCTTTCTAGAGTGGTCCTCTTTCTGACCCTCCTCACAGGCACGTGCTTCAAGCAGACCTTGTATGCTTCAGCTGTCAGTTGAGCTATTCCCTGTGTGGGAGTTTTGTCGCTTACGACCGTCTCCCATTGAATGTTTGCAAGGTCTATATTTATTTTTTCCCAGTTGATCCTCTTATTGTTGAAATTGAATTAATTGAATACCCCTTCACACTTGCTGGTTCTCTTGGACCTGCTACCATTATTAATGTTAGTTTGCACTTCAATTAGCTTATGGTCTGAGTATGTAACATCTGAGATTCTAATATCTCTGATTATTTCATCATTGTTTGTGAAGCTCTCTCGTAGATCTCTACGAGCTACGTCTCTCGTCTCTCTCCTGTCTCCAGTGTAATGTTGAGCAATATAATTTATTGGTAACACAAGCTTCCTTCAGCACATTAGAAACTTAGTCAAACTAATCTTTCTGATTCCAGCTAACTGATCTTACCGTGCACAGAGTTGGAAGGAATAAAAACAAAATGAGAAATGGCACACCACATTGTGGTGCATTGTGCATCCATCACACTGACCTGGGGTACCAGTCATACAGTGGGCTGTCAGGTGGAGACCTTGAGTGGCAGTTATGTGTGATTACAAAGGAGACATCTCACATTGATTTATGTTTTATGGAATTCACCTCTGTTATCACCTTTAATGACCATTAAGGAACTGTTGAAAACATTCCCTGTGGCATCAGTGTTTCTATGTCTCCTGCCTAGCTGTCATGAGACCTCTTCACAAGGCATGGCAGATCTTAACTTAGGTGGCAACATAATGCAATAGCTCAGAAGTGAGGACTAGATTATTAAACAGCTCTATAATGATGGCTCAATAAAATTGTGAACACTTAACTGTTAAAACAAAGGATGATTCCATTACAATATATAAACTGGGTGTACAAAATATACTTACCAGAAACATTAGAATCGTCACATACAGCTACAGGCGTAAAGATGTCATCATCTGCCTGGGTGTTTAAAGGTACAATTGGTGGTGATAGAGGTGCACATTCTATGTAATCTACTTCTGCCTGCAACACACACCAAAAATTACAATTCAATATACAGTACAGTATTATTAAATGCAAATACAAATAAAAGAAAAAGGCATAGAATGTAATGCAATGCCCTTCTCTGGGTGAGCCTGATAGCTCTCTGAAGTTATATTGCTGAGACAGCTTCCCATTACTCAAGTCACATCAGCCACAGGCATCCTGTTGGCCTGCACGATGAACAGGGGAAAAACAAAAAAGGGTGCCCTCACTTTGACCAGTCCAGCCACAAGGCATCCTTCCACTTTGACATCCTCATGACCGGAAAACAAACCCAAGTAAGAGGGAAGCTGCTGGTTCAAAGCAATGCAAAGCAGTTCATCTGAAGATGAACCGGAACCGAAATGTTTCGCATAAGAACAGAAGGGTGCATTGTGGACCATCCATTATGTGATAAATGGAAGGGAAAGAAATCATCTACAAGAATGTGGACATACCCCACATAGTAACTGCACAGAGAACCAACCCCGAGAATCTGAGCCACACAAAGAGTCCAGTCCCATAGGGGGGGCAAGACTGAAGTGACCCCTTGTGGCATAGCAAAAGAACCACTGGTGAGCGGTCAGAGTGGAGAATGGAGCCCAGAGCAACAATAACTCCCTCCTTTCCCACAAAGAAAAGAACCAAGACCCTGGTTGCAAATGCATAGACTGGCTGGAGACATAAACCAGAAAGTTGTTGTGGCAGCCTAGACCACAAAGCAAGTAGCTGGGCAACAAGAGAACAACTGAAAAACCTGACATCGGCCAGAATGAATAATTCCGAAGAGGCATAAGAACATTCATGGAATAAAAAAACACTGACCCATCCCAAGAAGAGGCAGCAGGAACAAGCCAGAACATGACAGAGGACACCAGGAATACCACCTCAGAAAACCCTCAGGCAATTTTGGGCAAACCCCTGGATCTTACCTAGAGGGGGTATCTGGGAGTTCTGCTCAAGTGAACCCAAGTGAAAACAGAAAAGTGAAGGTCTGCAAGGAAGATGCAGAAATAATGAAAGAAGACAATTCCCAGGGAAGACCAGGAAGAACCAGAACCCTGTTGGAAGGGGCACAACTGACCACACTTGAGCCTAACCAAGGTGTAAAGTGTCCAGTGGAGGAGAGGACCAGCACCCTGGAAGTCAAAGAAAAGGAGTGGACAAAAGATAATAGATAAACCCCCTAGAAAACCCCCAAAAGAAAGACAGGGAAGGTTGAAAGATGCTGACTGTCCTCACTGCAATAGCAATCGGGCAAATTGCGAAAGGGTGGAAGAAAATAACCCAGGAAGGAGGCCCCCCCAGAGGACACTTACCCGATAAAGAAGGGCCTAGGCTAGAGAGCTAAAATCCTGCCAGAGACTTATCCTGACCACACAGGCAAAGCTCCCCTACTCTCAGGAATGGGAGGGGTCGGTCCCAAACCTTACAAGCCTAGGAAAGTGAAGCACATCAGGTGGACATGAAACTCTTAAACCAACGCAGCCAAGATTGACACCCATGGAATGAAACTCCACATGAGTTTTTGAGTACAGGAGAGGTCACCTGAACACATACAATGGTAACCAAAGGATGTCTGAAAGTTAGGAAAAACTAAAACCGGCAACACTACCGCAAGGCCAAAGCCCACCCAAACCCAAATGAGGGAGGGTACAGAAGACAGCAAAGGCCAGGAACCACAGGATGAACTGCAAAACTGAACTAGCTAAATGGAAGTCAGGAAGCAGGAACCTCTAGAACATGACATAACCAGGAACACTGAATGAGACCCAGAAATGAACTAGGGAAGCAGCAGTCAAGGAACTCTGCTCAAGCCAGAGGGAGAAAAAGTAACCTTCCCCCAGAGCTGAACAAAACTCCCCACAGAGAGAAGCAGAGGACAGGAAGGCTGAAGGGCACCTAGGGACCCACATCGGGGTCTTCTCCAACCCTAAAAGCCCAATTTGAAGGCCCTGGGGCAGAGCCTAGCTCCTTGCCTGATGCCAAAATAGAAAAACCTCCAAAATATAACTCCAGAAAGGGAAGGCAATGTATCCTCAGTGGGAAGCAATGGCTCAACTACCTCTAATGTCAAGTGGAAGGGGCGATCTCCAGAGAAGTCCGAGCTACATTGCATTTGAACAGCAGCCCAGGTTCTGAAACCCAGAAACAACACAGAGCCTGGAGCAAACAGGGAAGGAGGGACAGAAGAGGGTATGGTAAAAGCAACATGGACAGAAAAAGACAATGAATGATCACAGCTGGAAGACAAAAACTTAAAAAAAACAAGAGCCAACTCCAGGGGCAACCACTCAGACAACATGCTGCAAAACCAAATGGGCAAATGAACCCAAGCAGCTGCATGCTGCCCACTGAGGCCCATCACTACAAAAACAAAGAAAACAAAAAGATGGAGGCTGAAGCAAAAATAAGATAGTGAACCCAGGTGTCACATGTTCTAGGGCAGAGGGGAATGTCCAAACAACAGGTGGCATTCAGTGGCAAAATAAATGACCAGCGATGTGTAACAATGTCGCTGGTTATTTTGTGCGACTTTGACATCCCTCAAAGTCGCACAAAATGAGTGTGGGTCGATCTATTATGAACCACACTGCAGGCTTACAGGGAAGTTGCCAGGGCTTGCAGGCAACTGACCAAGCAGAACACCCAGACACTAGGGACACTCTGGAAGAAATGACACTGAACAAAACCTATAGCATAAACACGGCTGCGAAGGGCATCAGTGGAATACCTTTGTACCCTAGTACACCCGACATGCAAACAAACAGTATGCACCCCACTGCAGGGACTCAGAGGAATCACAACTCGTACACTACCCAAGGTGAGGTTCTCCACCCCAGTGGCCTGGCCTCTCATGGGCAAATTCTTGAACTCTTCAGAGAAAGAACTTTCTTAGTGTAGGAGCAATGCAAACGAGTGCTTAGGGAAGGGTCACCTTAAACACATGCAGCTCATTGTGTAGTGTGAACTAAGTTCACACAACAAGTGAAGCTTGTAAAGACTCATGAACAAATTCTAAAGGTTAAGAATTATACACAAGCAAATGACCCCCAACATGACAAAGTCCACAAGATGGCCGTCAATTATCTTCAAAAAGAAGTGCAACTAGCTACGACAGGCGACTGGGAAGATGAACCAAGGCCATGTCAGCGACAGGACTGAGCATGTGTGGGCTTGAACCTGGGAAAACATCTGTTGGCAGCTCCGTGTAGTAGGGAGTGTTTTGTACCTAACGTGAACCATTTCATTTTAGTGAATCTTTTGCTGTTTTCATGCTTCATTTTCATGAACTATGCAGTTGTTTGTATTGTCATGTCTACTTTCTGATTGCGTTCCCAGTGAGGGCGACTGTAATAATCCCCTGTCCTCTGTGCCTCTGCGGAGGGGGGAGGGCGGGGTGACATTAGGCTGGTAGGACAACAGGACACCTATGACTGATATGACATGAGTAATGGGAAGCTATCTCATCCATATAACCTCAGGGGGCCACCTTAGAGTTCACCGCCCCAAAACGATATGACTCAATATCATAACAACTACTGAGAAGAGCATGTCTCAAGTCAACATGTACTGTATCAGGAAATGAGTTGCATGGTATATTGCGTACAAAGGCTGCAATGATTGTAGGATGCTGTAATGACAAAGATAATACTGTATAATAAATTCATAGTGTAGAGTGTACAGGATGGTGTAATGAGCACGTACAGACTGCAATAATGTGAAACATGTTTGGCAGGTGGTGGTGGAATGTGCCTGACTATTATTGTAGTTATTGTTTGTGCCACGCTGAAATTTCAGTCTAGCATAAACAAAGGTTATGTACTCCATTATTAACGTATTAATCATTATAAAATTTATACGTTACAATTCAGAAAAATACCTCTTGCTCCAAAGACTCAAAAAAGTCGTGTGACTGTGTGACACACTGTTCATCTGTGATCAATTTGCGGGGAGTTTTTAACTTGGAGATTTTTGTCCCAGTGACAATAGCTTTATCAAAGATACAGTCCGAATCTTCAATTTTTGCTTCAACTGTCTTCTCATTAAAACTTCCTTTAACTCTGTCTGCTGACTTCCCCACATCTTCGAAAATATTTTCATTTTCTTGACTAAGAGTACTTTTTACTTCGGACTTCATGCTAGTCTGAAAAACAAAGACAGAAATCTGAGAACAGATTTTAATACAACAGAAATGCATAATTACAACCCATCCTCCAGTAAGGCAGTTTAGTACATCTAGTATGGGTTTCTGGGAAGCCCCTTGTGGTCTCCTCAAGCTATCTCACCAAGATTGTTCTCAACTACAAGGTCCCATCAGTCACTGAATTCTATTTGGCCTACTGGAGACCAAAGCTAGACCCTGGACCCCTCACAGAGACACAGAGAGCAAATTACACTTTGCCACCCTTACCAGGAAAGCGTCCTGAGAATCAACAAAGCATTATAAATCACTGGCGGGTTCAAAAGAACTGAAGCCTTGAAAATTGCCAACCGAGCTCCCCAAATAACTTAAACTAATAATCAAAGCTCTCTGAACTATCTCTAACTCATTAGTACCAATTCACTGCCACCAGGGGAATGGGAGCTCCGGCCATTCCAAGTCAGTTCTGTTGCCTGAAATATCAGCACTGTGGAGAAATGCCCGACAAACCACTGGAACATTATCTAACACAGTGCACAGTTACAACCACAACAGACCACTGGAACTTTTCTAACACAGTGCACAGTTACAAACCCATTAAGATTTCAACTTAGATTCAACAGAGCAGAAGAAGTTGTTAAACACATGGGGCAAAATCTTACTGAAGTGACCATACGAGTCATAAATACCCATACTCCACCCAAGTAAATCAGAAACAAGCAACACTTAGTGGGCCACCCAGAGGCTTAGGGGCTGCGCAGAAATATCCCTGAAAAAAAAAGTGTTGAATGCAATGAACGCTATTTTATGGGTGAGTCTAGGAGGCTCCCCGGAGCTGTCCAGGCTCAATGGATATGTATAACTTTCTGGCATCAGTCAATGCATAGAGTTCTTGCCTACCGGGGACCACGAGCCAGACCCTGGCCCCCTTTAGAGAGCCACGAGGAACAATGGCCTATAGACCCCCTTTATGATTGGGAGCATTCTATGTCTGCCATCGACCAGGATAGGCACCACAGAAAGGTAGGCACCCGAAAACAAACCCCTATTCTGGTAAACTATTGCGACCAAAGACCGAACAGGTGGACAGAACTTCCTAAACGAAAACTAGCAAACAAGCATGACGTCATCATGTCGCCACGCCGCTGTCTGCGCAACCCCTCGTTGTGCAGACAGGCTCCCCCCCTTCCCCCTCCCGGGGGAAGGGGGGAGCCCCAGACCCAACCATTAGTTCTTAGGCTGGATGTCAAAAACACGAAAACACCGCCGACCGGAGGGAGGGAGGGAAGGATGCCAGGGAGCCTCCAGGACTCACCCAGACAATGGCGTTTCATTACATTCAATGCTGGTTTTCTGGGGGAAGCCCCATTCGCTTCACAGAGCTAACTACCCAAAGATAAGGAAAAACAGGGACTTACCTGGGCGGCGGTCCATCCTCACTCCTCAACGCGAAACGAGACAACTGGCTGCAACCGCCGACCCAAAGCAACGCAGGCCTGACTAGGCCCAGGAACATTCACCAGGCAGTGAGCAGCAAGGACCCTGTTCGATCTCCAAAAACCCCGGGACCGAATGTCCACCCAAGACATGTTGCCAAAGACAGCCGCCAAAGCAGCAAATTTACGAACGTCGTGGGCCCGGGGAAAACCACAGGCTGGCTACACTTAATAACCCTCCTGACAACCTGAAAGACCCGAGCCCGGAAACAGGGAAGAAGGGAAACCAGATCAACCCAGAGCGCATCCCCGGCAACAGAAGCCGTGGCGCGCAAATAACGGTGGAGAGTCGCAACCGGACACAACACATGATACACCCCCGGGCTGACCAACCAAGCATCAACAACCCACGGCTCCCTCCGGAACGCAGCCGCCTCATTCTTCACCAGCAAAGAAGGAGACAGCTGCAAGCAAACATAACGACCACCAAGACCGAAAGAGCAGAAACCTCGGCGCCGGAGGAGAGCACGAAGCTCCCCAACCTGTACATCTTGTTTTGTCTTTTGTGGCTACTCTTCATAGCTGTCTTCATGCTTTTGCTTTAGCATTTGTGGATGCCTTGGGGGTTCCTCTAGTCTATTTGATTTCCTGTTCCAAGGCTCATCTTTCTCAGGTTGTCTGCCATTGTTCTTCTGTCCCTCCGATCTGCGGTTTGCACTAGTGCCCATGATGCTTGCACACTAGCCACCCTCTCGGCCGTTCTTTGCTGATATGTCCTGGTTTGATATTATTCACAAGGGTCTTAGGTGGTTGACTGTAGTCTTGGCAGTCAGATTTTTGGGTTCTTGTTCCGTCAAGAGCCAGTTATTGAGCCTGCCGTCATGTGTAATTACCTAAATGTAGTTACAGGATGAAAGCTATGCTCGTGGTGTCCCGTCTTCTCAGCACTCTGTCATATAACGTTTTGAAATTAATGACAGTCTTGGCCTCCACCACCTCACCTAACTTGTTCCAACCGTTTACCACTGTTTACAAAAGTGAATTTTTCTTATATTTCTCTGGCAACTTTGTTTTGTTAGTTTAAATCTATGACCTCTTGTTCTTGGAGTTCCAGGTCTCAAAAATTCTTCCCTATTACAGTCTAGCTCAAAAACTTTATCGATTCCTGTTACTATTTTATACGTAATGATCATATCGTCTCTTTTTCTTCTAGCTTCTAGTTTTTGAAAATTTAATGCCTCTAACCTCGCCTCGTAGCTCTTGTCCTTCAATTCTGGGAGCCACTTAGTGGCATGTCTTTGCACCTTTTCCAGTTTGTTAATGTGCTTCTTAAGATATGGGCACCATACAACTGTTGCATATTCCAGCTTTGGTATAACAAAAGTCATGAACAATTTTTTAGCATTTCTCCATCCATGTATTTAAAAGCAATTGTAAAGTTAGAAAGTGTAGCATAGGCTCCTGGCACAAGTGATCCAATGTGTGTGGCACAAGGACACAGAAATAAGAGTACAGTACTACAGTATATTTGAAAAGTTGCTCACTAAACAAGGTGTTTATTTAACAGTAACTACAGAAAGGGCCAGCTAGTTCAAGAATGGTTAAACACCTTTTTTAATTTTCCTCAAGCAAGTGCTATTTGTAAGCTTCAGATTGCTTGTCTATAATTATCTTACATTCTTCAGGACTTTTGTCCTTCACTTCCGAGTCTTGCAAATTACTTTGTCAAATAGGGACTTGAAATTCTCATTCAATGAAAGAATAAGATGCACAAGAACATTTAACAGAAATAACTATCAATTTTACCTCTAATTTTGTCACTGGAGCTGCAACATCATCCTTCTTCATGGGTGAATATTCTTCTATGCTGTTCTCAATGTCAGTTTCATCATCGGAACTAATGATAATTCTGTTCGTCCTCTTTCTTAGCTTATGATTCATTTCATCATCTTCAGATTCTTTGGTTGTTCGATTTTCTTCAGGTTTTCCTAGAATATTTAAAGACAACTTCATTTTACTCTCACAACAAGATATTATACACACTTAATGACAAGTACATATGACAAATGGCTGCATCAGGCACAAGCTGATACAGTACAGTTAGCTGACGGGTGCAATCAACACAAAGCATTACAAAATTCTGGAGAGAAGGCAGACAACACAAACAAATCATGCTCATGCAAACTGACCTTATAAAAGAACTGAAGGAGACAATTTGTTAAGCTTAAAGTTATACACATGTGGGCAAAAAGTTAATGAAGGAAGTCAAAGGATTTTATTCAACAAAAAACCAGCGTTGAATGTAATGAAATGCCATTTTCTGGGTGAGTCCCGGAGGCTCCCCAGAGCTATCCAGACTGAATGGATATGTATAACTTTCTGGCATCAAAGTGCTAGGAGTTCTTGCCTACTGGGGACCACGAGCCAGAACTTGGCCCCCTCAGAGAGGCACAAGGAGTAAGACATGAGACCTTCACTTTACCAACCAGTTCAAGTGGATGGACAATGGACATCAAACTAATCTCTACATGCTCCTCTTGATGTTTTTTTAATCACAAACATACTTCAACATGTTTCTTTCCACAAGTGCATTATCAATTAAGACTCATTTCTGCCCATTCATCAGTTGCCCAATACAATATGTAATTATGTATAACTGGTCTATGATCTTTGCTAATTGTATAAAAATGACCTTGCTAGAAATTTTGTTCTCATCTAAGCATAAAAAGCTATGTTCTATTGAATATTAAATATTGTAATTAGAAATTTAGGTGAATAAATAAATATAACTATTAGAATTGTAATATAAAATACTTATAATAAAAAGTAATTATAATAAAATAATTATAATAAAATAATTATAATAAAATAAAATTTTGTACAATAAAATAATACCAATAAAGTAATAAATAAAAAACAAACAAAATTACCTTTACCAAAGGAGGTATCCAACTCAAAATCACAAAAATCATCCAAATCATCATCAGTGAGAATAAAGTTAGTGGAAGCTGCAGGTATTGGCACCACATTAACAGTCTGAGGAGATCTGTAAGGCAATTATTAAAAGATAACAAAAGCTTGCAAGTACCAAAGTACAGTACAGACAATACATGTGCGGTGATAATAATAGCCATCACTTTTTAAATTACAGGTAATTACTTAATTTCTAATGTTACTATACAAATTTTTTCTGAGGTGTATCACAATGCCCAATGCTTGAATCACACACAGCCAGGTTTGGTCAGTACTAACTCTTTGGGGCAACATAAATCTTTTCAAAGGACCTTCATGTCATAATGGAGAATGCGAGACACTGAAAAAACGGTCCGAATGGAGCCAGAGCATGGAGTCTGAAGGATTCCCAATCTTCTGCAATGGATTCCACTGCATAGGATCCACGCGGCCTCAAACCCCCGAACCGTACTGTGAGCCCAACAACAGGGATGACACCAATGACCTTGGCTAGCCTGGTTAGTGCTGGTCACAAATGACCCAGAGCCAAGGTGTTCGTGAAGACATCTAGAGAGCGCAGAGGAAGGTGCCAGGGAACTGAGCCAAAAAAAAATTCTACAGATGAAGCTGGTGGCACAGCAGCCGGGAGAGGGCCAATGGGATCCACAGCCAACGATTACGGTGGCAGCCAAAGTGACTGAACCAGACACAAGAACAGCTGCCAAAGGCACACCTTGCCTAGAGAAAAACTATGCAGGCAAAGTTCAGGCTCCCGCACAACTGCTCTACTAACTGTCAAATTACCCAGAGGCCAACTCTACACCAACAGACCGCAGCGATGCAGCAGCCAGTTGTTTTAAGATAGCATATGACAGAGTACTGTACTTGGAAGTTGGGACACTATGAGTGTAGCTCTCATCTTGTTACTACTCTTAGATAATTGTACTTACACACTCTTTAAAATACATCTACAAAGACAGACAAGAAGACAAGCACACACTTCACAGAGCTGTAGACACTGTAGTTGAAATGGACTCCAAATGATGGCAGTAAAACCAGCGTTGAATGTAATGAAATGCCATTTTCTGGGTGAGTCCCGGAGGCTCCCCGGAGCTATCAAGGCTTATATGCATCTCTTTAGAATTTGGCATTAGTCGATGCGGGTGGAGTTCTAGACCTACCGAGGACCTCGAGCCAGAACCTGGCCCCCTCAGAGAGGCACGAGGAGCAATGGACTATAAAAATGCACATGTGATTTGAAGCATTCTATATCTACCATCGACCGGGACAGGCACTCAAAAAGATACAAAAACAAAAAAACAAAACCCCTATTCTGACAAAATGACAAAAATAGATAAACGAGTGGACAGAACCCCCCAAATGAAAATGAGCAAACGAGCATAACGTCACACAAGCCACACAGCATGTCTGCGCAGCTCCCACCCTCCCCGGGAGGGGAAAGGGGGGAGCCCCAGACCCCCGCACCAGCGATTCACACCTCAGTTCTGAGGCTGAATATCACAATAAGCGAAAACCGTCGACCACAGGGAGGGTTACCGGAGAGCCTCTGGTACTCACCCAGAAAATGGCATTTCATTACATTCAATGCTGGTTTTCCAGGGGGAAGGGGGGGGCTCCTTCGGCTCCCCGGAGCTACTTCACCAAAGACGAAAATGAAAGGGACTCACCCAGGAGGCAGTCGGTGCTCATATCTCAACTCTAAGTCGAGACAACAGGCTGCAACCGCCAGCCAAAAGCGACACAGGCACGGCTAGGCCCAGGAACATTCACAATGTAGCGTGCAGCCAGGACCCTGTTCGACCGCCAAAAACCGTGCCCGAATGTCAGCCCATAACATGTTACTGAAGACGGCAGCAAGCGCAGCAAACTTACAAACATCATGGGCACGAGAAGAGATCGCTTGCTGGCAAGATCAAAGAACCCTGTGGACGACCTGAGAAGCCCTGAACCCAATGAACAGGGAAGAAGGGAAACTGAATCAACCCAAAGCGCGTCAACGGCCACAGAGGTCATGGCGTGATAAGAACGGCGAAGGGCCACAACCAGACACAACACATGATGCACCACCAGCATGACCAACCAAACATCAGCAACCCAAGGACCCCTCCAGAAAGCAGTCATCTCATTCTTCGCCAAAAAAGAAAGACTGCTGCAAACGAACAAACCTATCACCACGACCAAAAGAGCAGAAACCCCTGCGCCGGAAGAGAGTATGAAGCTCCCCAACACGACCCATAGAGGCCAATGCCAACAAGAAAAGAGCTTTGGAAAAACAATCCTGAACCGAAGGGACCACAACAAACCGAGGCGAAGACAGAAACAAGAGCACCCTGTCCATAGAACAGGACAGCTCAGGCAGTGCATGAGCAGACCGGAGGCGAACAATGTCCGAGACAGCCCGCGAAATGGTGCAGAAGAAACATCAAAACTGAAAGCAATCCGTAGCGGCTCTGCCAGCGCCGCACGAGACAAGGCAACAGTATGTGTCAAGACGACGGTTCCAAACCTCCACGAGAGAAGGACAAAGCCACATCAACAAAAAGCACAGGATACCTACGAAGAGACAAAAAGAAAAGGAAGGACCGCCAGGAAAACCCCATGCCGCTGCCAAGACGAAGCATGCAGATGGGACACCAGCAACGAAGTCACCTGATCACCAACAGATGGCGACAGACTCGAGTCAAAATTACCAGAATGAAGACTCGAGGAGAAGACCGAACCAGTCACGTTATGAACCGGACCGATCACATGAAAGAGGTGGAGCCGTGGGTAAACCCCTGGGTTCGTACACTGAGCAAGCAGCGCTTGAAACCAAGGCTGGCAAGGAACCAGAAGGAACATCCACCATGGAACCAGGAACCCAAACCCAGCGAGCCGGAAAGAACCAACCCAGCGAAGCAGGAAGAACTAACCCAGGCGACACGCCCCATCCTAGAGGAACTTTCCGGGACCCATAAATGACCAACAAGGCCAATAACGGATGACAACGAGAAGAAGCGGCATGTAGAAAGAGCCGAACCGCAGACTCCACAAACAGCAAGAACAAAATGGTGACGAAAACCTAAGAGAGAGGGCCCAGGCAGAGGCCAACGAGGAAGCGAACACCACGAGCCGACACACGAGACATGAAACGAAAAACAGCGACACCACAACCAACAGGAGCAGCGCAACCAGCTCCAGCAGGGCAGAACGATGTACGCGTCACTGAGTAATAGACGAGGGGAGCTTCCCAGAACATGTACCACACTAAATAAAAAATGTACTGTCCAGAAAAGGAACAAAAGAAAAGGCCGTAGCCAGGGCCGGAATCCTAGCGCCCCCTGTCCCAACGAAAAGGAACTGAAGGGGCAGGAGTGGGGGATTGGAAATCTACATCCACCAGCAGACACTGCAACACAGAAGCTGGTAGGGACATACAAGAAGATGAAAGAACTCAGTACTATAACTGAACACTGGGGCTGTCCAATCTAAGGGAAATGAGCATGAACACAGTCCAATCTAGCACTAACACTAGGATAGCCAATAAGTACATACGAAGATACACAACAATGTGTAGTATAAAGATAGGAAATATGGAAACATATTTCCATATAATGAAAAGACCCTAAATATAGTCCAAGCACCGGTAGCTCGGGACAAGAGTATAATCAAGATGACGAGCTAACAAGACTTAGGAAGTAAGTAGTAATGGAAAATACACGATCAAGTATATATACAGACACTCCAATGTATATATAAGGGTGAAGCCAGGCACTGAACGACCTTCAATGAATGAGCGTCCAGATAGCATTGACTGAATCAATAAATGAGTGAATGCGCCCCACAGTAGCGAAGAACCAGATGATAGCATTACTACAACAATACCCAACACTCATCCAAAAATCGAGAACCAGCGCCTGGCTGACAGTGTCGCTGGACCGTATAATCTCTCCTGTAGAGCGTAGATACTATTGTGTCATGACACAGCTGAGCCGTGCAATATTCTGGGAGCATCGCTAGTGGATTATGTCCAAAGTTGCGTGCACAGTAAGAGAAGATGTGGTGTAGTGTAGAGGTGGAGGCAGCGCCACTCCGAGCCACCCCACACCCATAAGCAGAGAAAATAACTAAGTGTTTTTCTCATATAAAATCCAGAGCTCTCCCCAGTATCTGGGGGGCTATGACTGGAGAGATAAGATGAGCAAGAGCGGTATACAACCCGTGATAAAGGACGCAGAACACCAACACATGTTTACACCATCCATAAACAAAACGAGCACCCTTGGCCCATGTGTCTGAGGTCCGAGCTGCACCGCCCCTCTTTTGGGGAGGATGCCCACAAGGTTTATTAATGATTAATAGTAATGTCGAGATAAAGTACGGAGAGAAGATGTGATTACAAAATAATGAGATAAAAGATCGAAAGATGACAAGTAGGACGTAAGAGGACCAACAAGTCCGATAAAAGACTGGAGGTAAGCCTCGCCGGAAGTCGACAGACGTTCCAATAATATTGTAAGTATCGAAGATTTTCATGAACCTTCGAGAACCGTGAGACTCGAGCACAAAATCACGGAGGCTCATATGGGCCCATTGGCATCCGTGACCAATGGTCGTGCAGGGATCCCAATACGATTTGAACATGATTGTGACATGATGTAGAAGAATACATGTCCAAAATAAAAAGGTTGAGAAAGCAGTTAAAATTATCCACAGGAAGGACGGAACCGACAGACCCGAAGGGACATAGAACCGTAACCGGGGAGGGGCCGACGTCCAAACTAACTCGTATGCAGGGGGGGGGGAAGGATAACCCCACTCCTTGTAACCGAAAGAGGGTTGCTCAGAGGGTTGGAAAACCCAGGTGGGGTCCAACAGGGCCCAAGGCCCCCAAGTCAACTCCTCCCCAACCCCAGGAACCTCCACATCAGGCCCCGGGGCCGAGTCATCCTCCAACGCCCCGGCATCACAAGAAAAAACCAGGGCAGCTGGAAAAGCAGGAAGAGAAGGGGGCCCATTGGTCAGACCCCGGTGCTATGGCTGGAGGAACGACTCGAATGCCTCCATCGCCATCCTGGAAGGGGCAACCCCCGAAACCGCCTGAGTCTCAGAAACCTCTAAACCCTGCCCCGACCCTGAAGTCTTCAGACACTCAGAAACTAGCTGCGCAGTACCCTGCACCCTTACCAGTGCAAAACTACCACTTACCCCAAAGTAGACAAGGGTGGAAATCACCCAAAATATTCGAGGCAGTCAATCACCGAGCAGCAAAAGACCAACAGAGGTAGACCCAAGGTGACTTGTGGAAGATAACCCCAAGCTCCAAGGGCAGTACTTACAGGGCACTCAGGGAAGGTGACCCTAAGCACATGCAGCCCAAGTACCTGTGAATAATACTTCCAGCTCGCACACCACCATAAGAGCAGCACTGAACAAAAGTACAGCACAAGAGTCTGGAGCTGGAGCAATACGACCATGCCGTATAGCATCATCCAAAGAACTAGGGTGTGGCTCACCGGTGCTGGGGTTTGGGGTTCCCCGTTCCCCCTCCCGGGGAGGGGTGAGCTGCGAGGGGTGAGCTGCGCAGACATGCAGCATGGCTCATATGACATGCTCATTTGCTCATTTTCATTTGGGGAGCTCTGTCCACTTGTTTGTCTATTTTCATTGTTTTTAACCAAAATAGGGGTTTGTTTTGGGGCGCTTACCTTTCTGGGTGCCTGTCCCAGTCGATGGCAGATATAAAATGCTCCAAACCACATGTACTGTACACTTCTATAGGCCATTGCCCCTCGTGCCTCTCTGAGGGGGGCCAGATTCTGATTCGAGGTCCCTGGTAGGCCTAGAACTCCACCCACGTCGACTGAGGCCAAATTATAAAGAGATGCATATCAGCCTGGATAGCTCCAGGGAGCCAAAGGGCTCCCCCCAGAAAATCCAGTAGTGTCAAAACCACTGGAAACTAAGAAATACTCAGGACAAAGTAAATAAATATGGAACAATACAAGCATAGGTCTACTGATGCAACCCAAACTAGGTAATTATAAATACTGTACAGTTAAATAATCACACAAAAAATCTACCCATTTTGATATATAACAAGCAAAAATTTAAATAAATAATAAAGCTCTCAACGATAACTAACACTTTAGCAATGGGCTTGGAAATCTTCTTAGCTTGTGGAATGGCAGGGGCTATGTTTTTGGACACTGCTGGTGAATTAAAAAAATCAACCATACTTCGTTGGCGAAGTACACGGCTTTTGCCACCACGCCGACCCAACTTGGACATCTTAACTCTTACATCTGTAACAATTAAAATTACAATTATAAATATTTGCAAAGGAAAATAATTAACTAATGGATTTCTAGGAATATTAATTAAATCAAACAATGCATAAAAATGCATGACTTAATTCTTTAAATAGAACAGAAATATAGAACATGTAATAAAATTGGCAAATAAATAAATGAATATTGAACACATTATACTCACAGGCAAAAATATATAAAATTAATACAGTACTGCAGAATTAATTTTTAGAAACATGCATAGATGCATGTACTGTATTTACAGACAAGCAGATACATTGCCCATTTCTGAAACGGAGAAAGGGATGGTAGCGTAGCGGTGATTGAGATTTTTGGGCCCGGAAAATAGACCCCGTAGCGGTGATTGCGATTTTTTGGGCCAGTCACTGATACACTGAAGGGGGTTCCAGGTAAACTCTACATACAATTTTTGTTCGTTTTCAAGATCGTGCATTTTTCAAAGACCATTTTCGGATAAAACGATCTTAGAAGTTTGTTAAGAGTTCTTATGAGAAAAATAATTTCATAGAAGATTGTTAAAAGTTCTTATAGGGAAAATTCAAAATTTTTCAGTTCAGTTTTAGGAAAATATTTCAGAGATCATTTTATCATAGAAGTTTATTTACGAGTTTATGACCGAAATTTAGAAAAAAGACCATTTCCAGAGAACATGTTCATAGAAGTTTTGTTAAGGAAAACAGACATCTTAGCAGTAAGTTTTAGTTTTATATCCATTTACTGCTGTTTCACCTGTAAAAGACCAAAAATTATTCAGAGACCATTTTCAGACCAATTTTCATCAGAGTCCAGTTTATACCCAAAAATATTCAGTCCCATAGAGATCGAAAATTCGTCAGAGACCAGTTGCAGACCGAAATAAAACGAGTTCAGCTGAAAGACCGAAATTTAACAGAGACCCATAAACTACGAAAATTAGCCAGAGTCCAGTTTGACCCTGAAAATTAGTCAGAGTTCAGTAAAGACCAAAATTTGACAGAGTTTGGAGGCCCCCACCAAGGGCTCTCCTGGAGGAAGCGATTCTGCATGTCATGAGGGATACAATTCTATCCTTCGATTCAGCACCCTACAGACAAGTAAGGGGACGGCAATTGGAGCATCAAGTAGTGTGGCCAGAGTGGAAATCTTTGTTCACACGGCCTTTGAGCACCAGCGAGCACTCCGCCCAGATAAACCAGACAGTGTACTTCCGTTATATTGATGATATTTTCGGTATAATGACTGGACCAGACACACTCCTCCAGTCCTTCTACGCCTGGACAAATACAGCCCACGAAAATCTGAAGTTCACCTTGGAGCAGAGTAAAACAGAGATAAACTTCCTAGATACGACAGTGTTCATTGACAGTGAGGACAGGCTCCTTTACATGGGGGCCTACTACAAGCCCATGAACCTGCACACGTATCTACGATACGACTCCAGTCACCCCTCCTCCTTGAAGAACTCCCTACCCCACTCCTTAGGTCTACGTTTGAAGAGGGCCTACTACAAGCCCACGAACCTGCACACGTATCTACGATACGACTCCAGTCACCCCTCCTCCTTGAAGAACTCCCTACCTTACCTTACCTTGAGGTGTTTCCGGGGCTCAGCGTCCCCGCGGCCCAGTCGTCGACCAGGCCTCCTGGTTGCTGGACTGATCAACCATGGCTGTTAGACGCGGCTGCTCGCAGCCTGACGTATGAGTCACAGCCTGGTTGATCAGGTATCCTTTGGAGGTGCTTATCCAGTTCTCTCTTGACAGAGTACCTGTTGCACCTCTGCTTTTAGAGGTGTGTTTGTTGCGTTTGTTGCACCCTACTCCTTAGGTCTACGTTTGAAGAGGATAAACAGCCTTGAAGACACACTTGTTACTCAACTTCTAGACCTCTGGGATATGTTCTCAGCCAGAAGATACACAGAACGAGTAATAGCAACGGCTAAAAACAAACTAGACCTGAAGACGAGGTCAGAGCTCCTCATACAGGCCCTTCAGACCCTCAGTCGAGATGGATCCTTCCATCGCTGTATTTTTTTTTTTTTTTTTTTTTTTTAAGATATATACAAGAGTTGTTACATTCTTGTACAGCCACTAGTACGAGTAGCGTTTCGGGCAGGTCCCTGGAATACGATCCCCTGCCGCGAAGAATCGTTTTTTCATCCAAGTACACATTTTACTGTTGCGTTAAACAGAGGCTACAGTTAAGAAATTGCGCCCAGTAAATCCTCCCCGGCCAGGATACGAACCCATGACATAGCGCTCGCGGAACGCCAGGCGAGTGTCTTACCACTACACCACGGAGACTGTAAACGGCCTAGCAAGCCCTCTCCATAATGCCCTAACTGACATCTGGACCTATCTGAGAAACACCTATAGGGACCACCCTTCTTGGCCTAGGTTTGCCCAATCACCGCCAATGCTGGCCTAGAGACGAGGAAAGTCACTTAAGGATCATCTAGTACACTCCTCCCTCCACAGGATACACTCCCTTTAACCAAACCTGACACAGACCGATGGTGCAGGAGAATACCCCCTGGTTCCCTGGGTTGGGGCCACGAGGTTGAGAGGGCCCCACAACATAATACCTGAATACCCTTCAGGAACTTAAATAAGGAGGCTTTTAGATCACAATATAGACGGCCTATGTGAAGCTAGTTTTAGAGTATGCCGCCCCATCATGAAACCCCCATCTAAAATACACATAAGGAAGCTTGAAAGGGTGCAGAAATATGCAATGAAACTCGCCCTTGAGTTGCAAGGGATGAGGTATGAAGAGCAACTGAAGGAACTAAACCTGACAACGCTGGAGGAAGAGGAGGGAGAGAGGGAACATGATACAAATGTATAAAATACTTAGTGGAACTGGCAAGGTGGAAAAAAAGGAAATGTTAACAATGGATACTAATAGAACAAGGGAGCACAGATGGACGCTTGAGACTCAGATACAGTATGTCACAGAGATGTTAGATGTTAAAAAGTTTTCTTTAGCATAAGGGTAATGAGTAAATGGAATGACCTAAAGGAGCAGGTTGTAGAGGCAAACTCAATTCACAATTTTTAAAGCACGGATGATAGGGGAACAGGTCAGGACTCATTGCATTAGACAACCAGTGGCTAAAAAAGCAAGGTCAGAGCTAGGGCTTGATCCTGCAGGCACAAATAATGAGTACAGGCAAGCTACTCGCATCACAGCGTTATGTGACAAAGAGTGCTGGGAAGACGGGACACCACGAGCATAGCTCTCAGCCTGTAACTACACTTAGGTAATTAGGTAATTACAGGCAAGCTACTCGCATCACCTGCTTGATGGGGTTCTGAGACTTCTTCTACTCCCCAAACCCAGCCCAAGGCCAGGCTTGACATGTGAGTGTTTGGTCCACCAGGCTGTTGTTTGGAGCAGCCCACATCCTCGAATCACAGGCAAACTACTCACATCACAGGCAAGCTACTCACATCACAGGCAAGCTACTCACATCACAGGCAAGCTACTCGCATCACAGGCATAAATGCCATGTTATGGAATGTGGAATAGGAGAACATAGACCCCACACAACCTATATATTATGTGAGAAATCTTTAAAGAATTCTGATAAAGAAAGACATCTAGGGGTGGTTCTAGATAGAAAACTATCCCATGAGGACCACATGAAGAATATTGTGCGAGGAGCCTATGCCAAGCTTTCTAACTTCAGAATTGCTTTTAAATACATGGATGGCAATATACTAAAGAAATTGTTCACGACTTTTGTTAGGCCAAAACTAGAATATGCAGCGATTGTGTGGTGCCCATATCATAAGAAGCACATCAACAAACTAAGGTGCAAAGACATGCTACTAAGTGGCTCCCAGAACTGAAGGGCAAGAGCTATGAGGAGAGGTTACAGGCATTAAATATGCCAAAACTAGAAGACAGAAGAAAAAGAGGCGATATGAATACTACATACAAAATAGTAACAGGAATTGATAAAATCGATAGGGAAGATTTCCTGAGACCTGGAACATTAAGAACAAGAGGTCATAGATTTAAACTAGCTAAACACAGATGCCGAAGAAATATAAGAAAATTCACTTTCGCAAACAGAGTGGTAGACGGTTGGAAGAAGTTAGGTGAGAAGGTGGTGGAGGCCAAGACCGTCAGTAGTTTCAAAGCGTTATATGACAAAGAGTGCTGGGAAGACAGGACACCACGAGCGTAGCTCTCATCCTGTAACTACACTTAAGTAATTACACTTAGGTAATTACAGGCAAGCTACTCACATCACAGGCAAGCTACTCACATCACAGGCAAGTTACTCACATCACAGGCAAGCTACTCACATCATAGTCAAGTTACTCACATCACAGTCAAGTTACTCACATCACAGGCAAGCTACTCGCATCACAGGCAAGCTACTCACATCGCAGGCAAGCTACTCACATCACAGGCAAGCTACTCACATCACAGGCAAGTTACTCACATCACAGTCAAGTTACTCACATCACAGGCAAGCTACTCACATCACAGGCAAGCTACTCACATCACAGGCAAGCTACTCACATCACAGGCAAGCTACTCACATCACAGGCAAGCTACTCACATCACAGGCAAGCTACTCACATCACAGGCAAGCTACTCACATCACAGGCAAGTTACTCACATCACAGGCAAGCTACTCACATCACAGGCAAGCTACTCACATCACAGGCGAGTTACTCACATCACAGGCGAGTTACTCACATCACAGGCAAGTTACTCACATCACAGTCAAGTTACTCACATCACAGGCAAGCTACTCACATCACAGGCAAGCTACTCACATCACAGGCAAGCTACTCACATCACAGGCAAGCTACTCACATCACAGGCAAGCTGCTCACATCACAGGCAAGCTACTCACATCACAGGCAAGCTACTCACATCACAGGCAAGCTACTCACATCACAGGCAAGCTACTCACATCACAGGCAAGCTACTCACATCACAGGCAAGTTACTCACATCACAGTCAAGTTACTCACATCACAGGCAAGCTACTCACATCACAGGCAAGCTACTCACATCACAGGCAAGCTACTCACATCACAGGCAAGCTACTCACATCACAGGCAAGCTACTCACATCACAGGCAAGCTACTCACATCACAGGCAAGCTACTCACATCACAGGCAAGCTACTCACATCACAGGCAAGCTACTCACATCACAGGCAAGCTACTCACATCACAGGCAAGTTACTTACATCACAGGCAAGTTACATCATGGACAAGAAGCTACTCACATCACAGGGAACACATCGGAGGTTGCCTAGACGTAAACAAACCCTGCGCTCAAATAGGCGCCAGACAACTGTGTTGCTTTCAAAACAAATTACGACCGCACTATTTTTTTCTAATTTTGTTATTTATTTTTTTATTTGTTTATTTTATTTAATTATTCATATATACAAGAGTTCTTGCATTCTTGTACAGCAACTAGCACACATAGTGTTTCGGGCAGCCTAAGTTTAATACAAATGCAAAATGACTGCTTGTAGTTGTTGTGTTGATTTAGGGGCGACGACGATCGTGGGATCGGATGCGCCCCGGCTGCCCGATACCGGGAAATAGCGAAGGGATGGGGCCCCTATAGTCTCTTCAGGCCATAGACCCTACAATCTCCTCAGGCGACAAATTTTACAGTCTCTTCAGGCCGCGGACATGACGGATGAAGCGGAAGGTATGGCGAAGGATGTCATGACGGACGTCTTCGTCTCTCGCACCTGCCCCGTCAAGGAGAACGGGAACTGTGAGGCGGGGAATATTCAGCCTACGAACGGAACTCTGTAGTCTGACGCGAGCGCTATGAAATCGAGGGCAGTGAAGTAGAAGGTGCTCCACTGTATCCTCCTGGGTCGGACACCACTGGCAATATGGGGAATCTACCAGCCGTAGACGATGGAGATGTGCGGCCAGGCAAGTGTGCCCAATCCGGAGACGAGTGATGGCAGTGTCGAGGAGTCGAGAATGATGACGAGTCCATGGACGCGGGGAGGAATCCTCCCGTAGACCCGCCAAAGAGGAGGACCTGAGTGCTGGCTCCATCATTGCCTCCCAACTCACGAGGCAAGCCGCCCGGAGTTGCGGGAGAATTTCGGAAAGGTCTAGAGGCACATTTGTAGTGTCATGGAGAGCATGCGCCATCCCTGCTGCTGCGTCGGCTACCTCATTGCCTTTAATACCGACATGTGACGGAACCCATTGGAGATAGATGGACCAACCTGGAGTAACAGAGTATGACAGCAGTTCTCCACGGATCTGTGACACAGTATGACGATGGACTCGTGGACGCCGAGATGATATCAGATGTAGGGCTGTGATTGAGTCCACGTAGAAAACCACTGCAGAGGGCCCTGAAACTTGTCGAAGGAGTCGTAAGGCTAGTAAGATTGCAAACAATTCCCCGGCCAGGCACGAATGAGCAGGGGAGAGTTTCCACGTCTGACAGAAAGAAAAAGGAGCAAAGTATGCTGCCGCAGATGTAGATGGTGGCTGATCTTTGCGGGACCCATCCGTGTAAACCTCTAAGTATCCAGAGTATAAGGAGGCTCGTAGGTCTGCAAAAATTAAAGGGGCCAAACCCTCTAAATCTCTCTTCCGACGAGGAGGCTTGGAAAAGTCGACAGAAACTCGAATGATCTCTTCTGCCCACGGAGGCACCGGTGAGATGATCGGGCCGGGGGTGAGTACAGGGACGGGAAGGGAAAACTGTGAATATGCATCCAAGGCCCGGACGACGAAAGGCAATTGACGGCGTCTGGAGTGTCCAGCCGGCACATTCCACCAGTTAGCCTCGAGCTGGAGGCGAGTAAGTGGATGGGTAGCAGGGAGACGCACTATCCGTTGAAGTTGGCGGCAGTGGGCGAGAAGACGTTGAAAGCTCAGGGGCCATAGCCCCGACTCGGCATGAAGAGAAAGAACTGGCGAGGAGGGCATAGCTCCTAACGCTGAGCGAAGGGCACCATTTTGAATGGGATCCAGCCTTGCCAAGACAGATGCTGCTGCTGAGCCATAGACTTCACTCGCATACATGATCTTGCTACGAATGAAGGCCTTGTAGAGAGCTAGGAGCGACTCCCGTGAAGCCCCCCAAGCCGCACCAGAGACCCGTTTCATGATGTTCACGCGACGAAGGCATGAGGCCCGAAGGTAGTCGACATGGTGCCTCCACGTCAGCCGAGGGCTATCTAGAACGACCCCCAGCCACCTGTGTTCGGTAGCGATCGGGAGACGACAGCCCCCGAGGGTCACCACTGGCTGGTCTGGTAAGCGGGTCCAGGTGAAGCTCATGACGCAACTTTTCACAGGGTTAATGGAGAGCCCCTTCCCCAGCACAATTGCTGAGAACACAGTCACGGCATTTTGCAGGGAGCCTTGTGCCTCTAGGAGAGTGTCACCATCCGCCACGAGGGTTACATCATCGGCATAGGCTAAAACCTGGACCCCCCGGAATACAGGGAGATCAGACAGAAGAATAGAGAATAGTAGTGGGCTCAGAATCGCTCCCTGAGGGACACCACGCGAGACAGGGCGGGACGTAGAGACGACTCCACCAACCGCCACTTTGAATGAGCGGCCCTGTAGATAGTTTTGGAACCACCTTAACGCCGGACCCGAGAGACCTAGTCGAGCCAGACTCTGAAGGACAGCAGAATGAGAAGCAGAGTCAAATGCACTCTTGATATCGAAGAATGCTGCAAGGAGCACTCTTCTCCGTCGATAAGTGTCCATTATTCGATGTTCCAAGGAGAGGAGGCAGTCCATCGTGCTTCTTCCCGGCCGAAATCCACTGATACCCTCAGGTAGGAGACCTGAGGTTTCCACCACCCATTGTAGCCGGGTGTGAACAAGACGTTCCATCAGTTTCCCGAGACATGGAAGCAAACTTATGGGCCGATATGAAGTCGGGACAGACGGATCCTTCCCTGACTTGGCCAATGGTAGAAGAATGGCGTGTTTCCACGGGGCAGGGAAGACACCAGAGGACCAGCAGGCGTTGTAGAAGTAAAGGAGGTGGGACTGAAAGTTCTTGGGTGCCCTCCGAACAAATTCATATGGGACGTTGTCTATCCCTGGCATAGTGCCCGACCTAGAGAGTGACAGAGCGTCCTTCAGCTCAACAGATGTAAATGGGCGATCCAGGTCCTGAGCTAGTCCTATACCCTGTCGGGAGCCCCAACCTATGGAACTCACAGAGAGGAGCGGGGAACGGTAAACATCTTCAAAGTGGTCAGCCAAGAGTTCGGCTATTTGTACTTCCCCTAGGCCCCCATTACCACTGGGGTCTCTGAGTGGGATGGTAGGCCGGGAGTACCTACCTGTCATCTTACGAACAAAGGCCCAGGCTCCCGCAGAGGAGGAGTCGAATCGGAGAGAGGCACAGTAATTAGCCCAGGCCTTGCGTTTGGCAAGGAGGACTGTTTGTCTACACCTGGCGTCCGCCCTGCGGAAGGTCTGCCGCTGCAGTGGAGTAGGGTGGCGCCGCCACGAATTCCACGCACGTCGCCGGTCCAGTACTGCCTGCCGACATTCAGGAGTCCACCACGGTGCCCCACGGCGGGAAGGATTGGTTGTCTGGCCACTAGTCCTCCTGAAATGCCGAGAGCCTACACTGAAGAGGGACTCGGAGAGAGCATCTGCTGACCCATGGAGATCTGCAGTAACTGGGGGAAGGGTCAACCAGTCATCCGCCTCATAGCCATGCCACCCCTCTTCCGAGAAGATCCATTTGGATCTACGGGAGGTCAGAGCAGGACGAACAGTGCCCCCGAAGGAGATGACGATGGGCAGGTGATCACTACCCAGGTACGGCCCGGTCCATATCTGCGCCATCGTGAAGGGGCCTCTTCCAATGCAAAGATCGAGTGTTGAAGTATGGCCATTTAGCGGGTCTATCCGAGTTCCCAAACCTGGCGGCGTCAGTAAGGAGAGGTCTGGGGAGTCAAGGAGAAACTGAAATAGGGCTCGGCCAGCCATGTTGTGGTGGCGACCCGATAGCATGGGTTGCCATGATGAGTGCCGAGCGTTAAAGTCACCCATGACGAGGCAGGTGTCTGTGATCTGACCAAAATAGTGTTCTAGTTCCTTCTTCGTTACCGGTAGACAGGGGTTATACAGAACTCCAAAGGTGCCCCACCCATGGGAGAGGGCGACCTTCACTGCCATGAATTCTAAATGTCCACCCGGGAAGGAGTGAATCCGGAGCAAGGAGCTGGGAACTGAGTCCCTGACCAAGAGGGCAAGTCCCCCTCCACCCCGTACTGGCCGATCTTGTCTATAGACAGAATACCCCGGCACTGTGAAGGAAAGATCGTCTGTAAGCCAAGTCTCACAGAGTCCCACGATCAACGGTGGTGCGCTGGCGATAAAATTGCGTAAAAATTGCGTCTTCTTAAAAAGGGAGCGGGCATTCCAAAACACCACAGTATTCTCAGGATGGGGCGCCATTATCCCTGAAATACAACAGCTAACTTTTTGACCACCAGTGCACAGACGTCTCCAAAGGGGGAACCACTAGAAAAAGCCATAAAACCTTCATACAAAGTAAGTAAAATATGTGGTATCAATGACTTCCAGTCAAGAGGATGTTGATCTATGCTTCTCTCTGCCTGACGGAAGCGGTGGTCGGCTCGCGAACTCTCTTGACGGCGTCTGCGACTGGTGGGAGCCTCACTCTGGGCCTCATGTTCCCCCGGTGTCACAATCCCTTGGGAAAGTGCCTGGGGGACCAGAGGATCATCAGGGCTGTCTGTTGGAGCAGTACCTCCTGATCGATGGGTGTGTCGACGACGCCGGTGTTGGCTTCTTTGAGGAAAGGCAGGAGGGTGACGAGTGCTAGGCTCCGGCCGAGACTGAGCGTCCATGTCTGTATCCGTGGATGAGTTTCCGTCAATGTCAAGGCTACCCAGGAGGGAAAATCGATTAGCAACCTGGGCGTATGTGGCATGTGACTGGGACAGGCAAGAGCGTCTGCTAGTTCCTACTTGTGAAGAGGCCCGACCAGGGGGAACCTGGAGGCGAGAAGAAGCGATAGGCTGATTGAGGGTACGCAACTTCTGGAACAGCTCATGTCGAGGTGTCCCCGCTGTTTTGTGATCGATGTCCAACTGGAGGGCCTCAAGATATACAGGGCAACTCTTAGACGTAACCTTATGATGGCCATGGCATAAAAAGCAGCGAGGTGCAGCAGAGCACCCACCGTCATCTCTGTCTGAATGGCCAGTTTTGCCGCAGTTTGCACAACGTGCTGTATTACGGCAGGTCAGGCGACTGTGGCCCAATAGATGACAAGCGTAACATCGTAAAACAGGGAAATTGTAGGGCTGAACCTGATACGAGGTCCTGTGTAGTGCCACTCGGTCAGGGAGGTG